CGCTTCCCTCCGGTGCCACCCTCCGCTGCCCGGTCTCGCACGCCCAGTGCTCCCGGCGTTCCCAGCTCCCGGTTCCCAGCGGGTTCCCGGAAACGTTTCCGTAGCGGGACCAGCGCCGCTTGCAGCCGCCGGGACGCGTGTCTGGGAGACTCGGCCCCTAAGGGAACCGACGAGGCACTCGGGGTGGTCGCAGGTGCCGAGGGCTCCCCCTTCACCACCTTCTGACATGAGCTGAGTGGGGCTGCTGCTGAGCGCTCTGCGTCCTGTCACAGCACCATGAATGTTTGGGTGTTTCAGAGAAATGGTTGTCAGACTATGACAATTTTTTTTCCTCCTAACGTTTCAGGTATTTTTTCTATTAAAAAAAACCAAACAACATTTTGCATTAAAACCTCCATCTGGAGAAAAACAAACTTGAAACAATGCAGCCCCAAGTGTTTGTGATCCCATAGCCTTGTTTATGTATAATATATATTTTTTGTTCATGTCACCCTTGTGCTAAGGAGAGGAGGTAATATATTTTCAAAGTTCAACACATGTAACTGTACTATGCAGAACGGTTTTCAGCATTTAGCCTGCACCTAGCTCTCCTTTCCCTCAAATTGTTCTCTTAATGCTGTGTTATTTCATAGCCTCTGATCCTGAATGTCTCTGTGATATATGTTCTGACAGTTTTAGGATCCCATAATAGAGTCCTTTGGGCTCTATAATACATATCCTTAACTTTGCATTAAGTCCTCTTATTCCCCTTTTACTTGTCAAGCTGTATCTAGACACTTGCCAAAGGAGCACTTTGTAGTTTATGTGCACTTGAACAAACTAGCTGTATCAGGAACAATCAGTAATGTAGCTGAAGAAGTTACAATTGGTTCCCTGTAGGCTGTCAAACCTGCTCTGATCTCAGTGCTGGTGCAGCTGTGCTATTCCCTGTACTCATCTTCATCTGTCTCTGAGTACCTCGGACATCCACACTGTGTGTAACATTCCCAGTTGCAGCACAGGTATGGCCAAATGTCTGATTACTGCCAGACTGCTGACAAAAAGTCATCCTTCAGATTCATATGCATTACTTTGTCCCTGTCTCTTCTGTTGCCATTCCTGTTTAGCAGAGGGGGGAGGAGGTACCCCTATGTCTTTCTGAATGCATATAATTTACCTTATATAACTTTTTGCTCTCTCTTCCTTTACCCTCCTCTGGATTTTCTCCTTCCTTTCTCTCTTTTGTTCAATGCCAGTGATGCTTATTTGTGCTTCATCTGCTATCTGTCCTTTATTTATCCTACATTTGTGATTGTCTCACCATTTTCAGACTTCTTTTCTATTCTCGTGCCTCTTTAGAGCTTCTTAGTTCTGTAAATATCACCTTTAAAATCCTCCTTCTCCCTGATTTATTATTAGTGTCTTCTGTAAAATGCTTTGTGTAACAAGAGCACAATAGTTGGGAGTTTTGTTAACAAGCTCTGTTTAAATATTTTAAGTTTTCTGTTGCTGAAATCTCGCTGTTTCTGGTTTTGCTGTTCTCTTGTAAAAAAGGGTAAAAATTGTAGCTGCTTGGACAGAAAATACAATTCTCAGTGATGCAAAGTAGATGAGAAGTAAGCACAAGTAGGAAGACATTGAGGTGTTGAATCTATAGGTCCCTGGCAAGTACAGTTGAACCCACACAGTGATATTTAGGTTATAAATAGTTTATAAAGTGACTGTTTGAATGCTGTCCTTTTTTGTGTGTGTTTTACTTTACAGCTGGAAAGAAGTTGTATGCAAACTTACGTACAAAAGCAATGACAAACTTTAGGGAAGCTGTGGTGTAAACACTGCTGCAATATAGTGATACTTGATTGCAAAAATTAGAACTGTACAGGTATTTCAAAATGAGAAAGTGAAGAAGCAGTGAAATGCCTTTTTGTCAAGTCTTGTGAGCAGTAACTTTTCTTTATGCTGCTGCCAGTAGATATGCTGAGTACTTCAAGTTCTTAAAATTTATTCTCTTTATTGACGTTATGATTTTTACTCCTATTGATTTGGAAATGCTTTACTGATTATAGACCATGTTTTGAAATGAAAAGCACCTTTTGGAATGTGGAAATGTCAGAAGACTGTGTACTTTATGTCACTGGCTGATCTAGCCACTGTCTTGCAAGAGGGACAAATGCAGCTTGCAAGACCAAAGGGCAGGGACAGAAAATCCCCAAAGTTAAATCTTAAGAACTATGAAGTGACAGAGCTGCTTAAGCACCTCTTGAACTCCTATTAAGTGTTTATTTCTAATTAAATGGTTGTTCCAGCTCCTTACAAACAGTAAGAATTTATACAGATAGATTAAATCTGCATCACGTCAGGTATTTCCTTTGTAACTTTTTTTTTTTAAGTTTATGTGGAACAGTGACCACCTTGGTTCTCCCTGACCCCCAGTTCTCCTACTGTTCTGCAGTGAGACTTTGAGATGAATGAGATTCTTTCATTTGATCTGTGGTGATAGGAAGTCCTGAAAATAACACTGAGGATCCCAGGATGGATTGCCAGGTGGATCACATCTTGAATATACTAAATGTATGCATTTAATGTAGAGTTACACAATCCAGATCCTTCTGTACGCTTCTTTCTATTGTCTGAAGGTTACCATTAGGTTGAGGTTTTATTGATAAATATGGAAAGTATTGCTTCTGTGTGACGGTGGGAAGGATGGTTTGTGGTCTTTCTCACCTGCCACATAGATGGTCTGCATTGAGGCATTTTGTTTGCAAAGTTCTGCACGTTAGCTTTTGAAAGCACACGTGCAGCAACAGACATAGCCTCCCTGCCAAAAACAGTAAAAGAATGTAGTTGCAATTACAGTGTCAAAACCTGCCTTTTTGCCAGGATAGGTGACTTCATTTGGGGAACTGCTTCAAGCCATACCACTGAAAAATTTCCTGCTAGAGTAAGCTGTGTTTCCCATAGGTGGATAACTATTTACATATTATGTGTGTACATATATGTATAGAAATATATATTTCTCTCAATCCTAATCCTAACAAAAAATCATTATCTCAGTCTGAGCTGTTGACAAGGCCCCTCCAGCCACTGCCTGGATGAAAAGTTTCTCACAACTGAGTATTACTTGCAGCTCAGTGTCCTCTGAGAGCCCCTTTCCAGCTCTGCTCTAAGTGCAGCTCCAGGATGTCTCTCTCTGAACTGAGCCCCTAGCCATAATCTCTGTCTGAGCCATCAGCAAGGCTCGCTAGGCACTGCCCAGGTGAACAACTTCTCTCAGCCATCCAAGTTCCCTTTCCAGCCCACAGTTTTTATCAGCAGCCCTTTTCCTGCTCCCCTCCAAAGTGCAGCTCTAGGATTTTTTTTCTCTCAACCTTAAACCTAACCTCAAAAAACCCAGTTATCTTGGGCTTTGTCTTCGATACGGCTCCCAGCAGTTGCCGTATTAGTAAGTTTCTTGGAAATTCCCTCACTGCTTCATGTGAAATTCCCCTCCTTTTCTAGAAAAATGTGTATATGAAGTATTGGCAAACCCTTTAAAGTGTAAATAAAGTCTTGTTCTCTCTGTGCCCGTCTTGTATCTGTTCTGCAAAAGTAAGATTTTCATTTACAGAACAATTCAGAAGTGAGAAGTTTACAGAATTACTTGTGATTGGGAATGCATTATGAATAGGCTGGGTTTTCAAGCTCATTTGGCAGGCTGTTGATAAGGAACTTTGTCCTTGTAAGATGGAGTAAGACCTGGATGACTGACAGTGAGCAGAAGGCTGCTGCCCAAGCCAAGCCTTTTCTTTTGCTCCTCTACTTCAAAATGCAGTTTTGTAAGTCTTCATCCATTTTGTCAAATACCAGTACACTGGATCTGTGTAAATACAGATCAATATTTTGGATTTCATAGCAATCCTGAATAGATTTCCTGTCAATCCTGCCATGCTTTTGTTTGTTGGTTGGTTTGTTTGTTTTTCTGCCAGCCAGTGCATTAGTACATTACATGCTGAATTTCTAGAGTTTTTTGTCACAGCTCTATTTGAGAGCCCTCAGCTTTGAGTGTTGCCTACAGCATCGCTTTGTTCTTCTGTCATTGTCCTCAACTCTCAGCCCCTTGTGACTACACTTCCTATGAATTTTATCGTATAATTTGTTTCTCTGAATAAGTCTATTCAGTGAGGATCATCTAACACTTGCCTAGTAACCAGGACAAAGCATTTCCTTTATGCATGTTCTGCTGGTTTCCTATGTTACTCTTATAGCTTGTGGTTTTCTTTTACTAGAATGAGTGGGGCTGCGTTCCCATCTCCAGCTGCCGAGATGGCAGAAATTAATCGCCTGCAGTATGAAATGGAGTACACCGAAGGAATCAGTCAGCGCATGAGGGTCCCCGAAAAACTCAAAGTAGCTCCTCAAAATGCTGACCTTGAGAAGGGCATCCAAGAAGGATTTCCAAATGCCAGTGTAACTATGCAAGTTCCAGAGCGGATTGTAGTGGCAGGTATGTCTGCATCTCCATGGAAGAAAAATAGGCAAAAATTTGAATTAGTTTCCCCAATTGCTGGATGGACAAAAAATATATATTAATATATTTTTAAAAGAAAAACCTGTAAAATGTTTTCTGGTTTTCAGTTATTGTTCATCAGCTTTGACTTAGGAAGTTTCTTGAACTCTGGGTATGTTTCATGAATAGTTTTGGTATAACCTGTAGTGGAGACAGTTAATGAATGAATTAGGAACAGAAAGTTTAACTGCTGACTTTTCATCTTACTAAACCATTTCTGGAGCAAAAACATTTAATGTTTATTGGTTTACACCTGCTGTTTCTTAATTAACTGTAAGTTAAATAACTATAACAAGTTTTGTGGATGTATTATCCATTAGCCATTCAATATGCATTTGATTATAATCAGAATGCTAATGATCATAGAATCATAGAATAGATTGAGTTGGAAAAGACCTCCAAGATCATCAAGTCCAACCCCTGATCCAACTCCAATTACTATATCATGGCACTAAGAGCCACGTCCAATCTCTTTTTAAAAACCTCCAGGGATGGTGAATCCACCACCTCTCTGGGCAGGCCGTTCCAGTGCCTGATTACCCTTTCTGTAAAGAATTTCTTCCTAACATCTAACCTAAACCTCCCCTGGCAGAGCTTGAGCCCATGCCCCCTTGTCCTATTGTTGGTTGCCTGGGAGAAGAGACCAACCCCCACCTGGCTATAACCTCCCTTCAGGTAGTTGAAGAGAGTGATGAGGTCACCTCTAAGCCTTCTCTTCTCCAGACTAAACAACCCCAGCTCCCTCAGCCTCTCCTCATAGGACTTGTGCTCAAGTCCCTTCACCAGCCTCGTTGCTCTTCTCTGGACCCGCTCCAGCACCTCAATGTCCTTCCTGAACTGAGGGGCCCAGAGCTGAACACAGTACTCAAGGTGTGGCCTCACTAACGCAGAGTACAGGGGAAGGATCACTTCCCTGCTCCTGCTGGCCACACTGTTCTTGATGCAGGTCAGGATGCCGTTGGCCTTCTTGGCCACCTGGGCACACTGCTGGCTCATGTTAAGGGTCTGTCTATTATTGGGTGGACTCTATCAATACTGCTTTAGTATTTATGGTCATGGAACTGACATGGACCTGCTGAAGGCCTTACAATTTGCAAAATGTGTGACATGCATATATTTTATGCTTTGAAAGAGTAACACCTTCACATCCCCAGTCACCATATTTCTAAACAAATACACCTTTCATAGGACTATGTCTAGAGATTAAAAGTGCCCCCACTTGCAATAACAGTTGGTGTTGCTCAGGATTACTCAGGATCGTTGTTCTCAGAAAAACTGCTCAAATAAATGTCAATTAATGTGCTCTTTATGAGAGCTTTAACCATAGTTTTTTAATATACAAGCCCTGTTAAAGAAAGGTATATTTAATTATTTAGCATAGTCAGGGGAAGTAACTGGTGTGATGTCTTTTTGAGTTTTAGCATTAACCCACAGGCCTCAGAACAACTTGCTTTCTATTAACAACTGACGTTCTTGCAGGTAATAGTGAAGACATTCCATTTTCCAGACCACCAGACCTTGACCTTCTTCAGTCTACTCCATTCAAACCACTGGCATTGAAAACTCCTCCCCGTGTTATTTCTCTTAGTGATCGACCGCTAGATTTTTTGGACCTAGAAAAACCTCCACAGCAGACACCTCAAAATGAAGAGGCTAGTACTTATTTTGCTTTTTCCTTAAGTTGAGAAGTATTCCTCTAACAAAAGTGAAATGACCAGTGATTTCTCTGTTGTGGTGCGGATGTGCTTGGTGCTGACATAACTTGGAAAAATATAAAAATATTTTTATTAGCCCTGTAGTCATAATTAGCCCATAGTCATAATTATGATTTTGAAGTTCCATAATTAACTGGCAGATGGCTAGGGGTTGGGATGCTTGGTAAGCTTACACAGTACTCACAAAAATGAAGTCATATTTAGAACTACTCAAAATATCTTTAACAAAAGAAATCCTCTTGATTAAAGAGAAGCCTGCAAGTTTTTTTAATTTGCAGGTTATCAGAAAACTAAGATTCTTCTAAACTATATGGTTAAACTTTGGAATTAATGGCCCAATGATATAACAGCACATAGAATTAGTGAGTTTTAACAAAATTTTGAAAACCCAACTTCCAAGAATTGTATAACATTGACATCCAGGTGGGTGATGTGTAATCAACATCTTAAAAACTGGAAAATATTTATGAAGCTGCATATTCTATAGTCTTATGAAATACAGTAGAAATGTATTTATTTCTAGTGATAGGAAGTAATATTAAACATAATACTGCTTTCTTGCATATTCAAAATGCTGTTTATTGATACTTTTGTCATCAGATCATATGGATATATGATGACAGAATTGCAGTAAGTTTAGGCCTTGGTTTTACATGTACCAGCATCAGATCCCGCCAACAAGTTGTTTTCCTCCTAATCACTGGGAAACCCAGGAAAACATGCCTTTGTGTCTGAGGGCAGATCTAACCTACAAATCTCCAATGAAAATTATGAAGTCTGTCCTGGAATTCCTTGTCTTTTATCTCCCTCTTTCTCCCTTTTTACTCAGGTCCGTTCAGTGGGAAGACTGAAGAGAGAACGTTCCATGAGTGAAAACGCCACTCGACAGAATGGCCAGCTGGCCCGAAATGATTCCATGTGAGTAGAGCAACAGGGTGCAGGGGCACAACTACAGCTTTGCTACATATTTTCTTTGTTCCTTATCTCCTCGTAACTTGTTTTTTCCAACTAGTATTCTGTATCTTGTGGCAAGTATATAATTTTAAATATTATAAGACCAGCATTTTTCTTAATTTCTATGTGTTTTGTGTAGTGAGATGACTCATTTGTGGAGTATTTTCATTCAGGGGATGGATGGGAGTGTTTGAGGGCTCACAGTTGGTTTCACTAGTTATCGTGAATTGTTACTTTGGGAGATGTTTCAGTTTCTGAGCTGGCATAATTTTTTTTCCACCTTGAATTTTCAGGAAATTGACTTCCCTGTGCATCAAAATGTTCGTGGTTCTCTCACTGTTGAGATTATGTAATGGTTTTCATTTACAGACAAAGGAATATGTGTATTTCTTTCTCTGGTGTCAGTGTACTTAATGTATTAGAATCTGTGAGTACATATCTTAATCTTTTGAGACAAAATGGCAAGTAGCATTTAGAATTGGAAACTTCATCTCTTGATACCATCTGAGGTAGCAATTCTTATAGTGCTTTCTGAAGACATACATGTCTGTGTATTTTTATTAGATATGATAGTCTTTGATTAATCACAGCTTATTCTGAGTGACAGCATCTTTACACGAGGCAGTAACTATTTTTGCAGTGTAACACTCAAAACTCATCTATATAAGATTCCTAATACAGCTACCATAAAGAATACTTTCCCTTCTTGAAAGGATCTTGGATTTAAGACCTAAAAGATGAGATTCATCTGTCCCAATGTAGACTGTATAACATTATTGCTAAATCACTATAAATTTCATTTTCAGTAATTAGAGGGAAATAAGTGCATGACCTACTTAGTATCTACCTATTTTTAGTCTAAAATAGATCAAGTGAGTTATGTCCTAGAAATTTCTGTTTTCTTCTGTTTACAGCAGGGGCACTAAAAGGTACTATGTGTACTACATATCTGTCTACCTGTTAGTGTGTCTAAAACTGGTGAAATGTACTCTGATGCATGTTCCAGACATGTTATAATTCTCCTTCTCTTCTTCCAGATCTTCTTGGAATTATTGTTGTTTATCTTCCTCTTCAGACTTAATCAGGCTTTTGGTTCATACAGGCTTATAGATTGCACATGTCTAGGTACTCAAGTCTGCGAGTCATATGTATTCACTGAGCTGGTAAAACCAAATTCACATCCACAAGCTCCTGATCAGCTCGGTCTCCAAATATTCTAGCAGCCTGCTAAGTGCCAAGTTCCCTGTGGTGTTGGTCATCCAGTTGTGTCCTGTTGGACTGGTCATAGTAGAATTTCACTGCAGGAATGGCCTTCACTTGCCTATCTGATAGTTTGCACATGATGAATGCTGGAATAGATGGTCTTCATGTGATGGAAGCTGCTTGTGAAAAAGGTTACCCCTTTGATGTTACCAGCTTTGCTTTGCCAGTCTTTGCTGTATTGGAGTTAAAGGAAAAAGAGATGGTATATGAATTCTTGTGATTCTTGTAGGCACTTTACCCTTGCTCCCCAGGTTAGTTTAGTCTTCCGAAAGACATGGGTTGTGTCTGCCCAGCCAGCCATCTGAAAGCTAGCAAGATCAGCTCTGACTGGATGTATCTAGTTGCTGTCAGATTTCTCACATATGTTTGGACTTTTTGAATGCAAAAATTATAAATCTGTAAAACTCACCTGTGTGCTTTGGTGTCACTCAGTAGCTATATATGGAATTACTGGTTTTAAATGGTCTGAATATTTCTTGCTGTCACAGTTTATTAATCTACTAGCAGTCCTTCAGAGGCTTAGCAATACAATATGAACTTGGAAACCTGTAAAGTGAAAAACAATATGATCAATGAACATATAACTGGTAGCTTGCATGACTCAGTTTATCATTTATAAAAAGCAGGAAATTATTACACACCTGAAGATTTGTTTTCCTCGCTCGATGTCCATGCTAGTGCCTGCATAATGTCTGTCAAATAGCTTAAACTTCCAATGCCAGTTTCCATTATGACTGTCTCTTAGGAAAATTATATAAACTTCACATTGATCCAGGATCTCTTTTCATTTGTTTGTATGAAAAATAACAGCTAGCTAATATTGACCCTGCACTATCTGTGCTCCCTGCTGTATGTGTGGAAGAAGCTGTCTTGCTTCACTGCAGCATTCCACACTTGCTGACCTGCAGATAATGTATTTTAGTAGAACTTAATTTGTCTCTTGTCCTCTCAAGTACTTGTTTTCTTATGACAGAAGTGATGCTGTGCCTAATGTGTAGATAAACTGCTTTTAAATCGTTGAGATTCCTAGAAATTGCTTATTTTTCTATCATCATTGTTTCTTCTGACTCAGTGTGATCCAAAAAAAGAAACCACTTTGAACATGCTGTGGCATTCTCAGTGATGCTGAGTCTGGCATTTCTCCCTCACCCAGGTTTTGTCAGTCTCCAAGTGGAGAATGTGACTATGTACCTGGCTAACTCTCCAGAGAATATTCTATGAATTCAGACAATGAAAGCACTATGTTCAAGGTGAAACTTGTTTAGCTCACACAAATGCAGGATAACCAAGTCTTTTGTACTTGAAAAAGGTATCTCTTGGCTCTTGTTCCCTCACAATTTAGGCCCACAGGGCATACACTGTAAGCAGCAAAAAAATTTGCAAGTTTCATGTAAATAAAACCGGAAGTAGCAATTCTACAAACCAAATTGATAAGGTGGCATTTTGTTTTCATTGTGGTAGCTACTTAGAGAAGCTACCCATGTGGAAATGTTATTGTATAGCTCAAAATAGGCAATACAAGCAAACAAATCTGCTTGATGTAAGTTATGCTACCTCAGATGCTACTGGATATCACCTAGCTCATAGACTACTATTTCTGTTAGAGGTTTGTGGTAAAGGTGATGCATGTCTTCTAAGTGTAGCTTCCTTGTTGATAAATTAGACCATTTAGGTAGATAAATTCTACTACAAATGTATTCTTTGCACTACATAAAATGTAATTGTATACTTGTTACCTCATTTATATCACGTTGAAATTCTTCACCATCTCAAAATATTTTTTTTTCCAGTGGTACAAAAACACAAGAAATCAGCTGCTCTTAAAGTTCTAACTTCCAGTGTTGTTGGATGAAAAAATATATATATATATTTGTTCTAATTACTGTAATGATACATTGCTGCTTCATCAAAACTGGCTTGACTTTTAAGTTCATATCATGTCTAAGCAGTTTACTTCTGTGGTAACAAATACTAGGGTACTCGAAAAAGATTAGCTCTTTATTCCTGTGCTTGTGAGAGTCTGGTTCACATCTTTAAATAGGACAGGGAGTCCACGCTTTACTTCAACTATTTAACTCCTATTAAAAAAAAATAAAAAATTCCAAATGCTTGTTTCTCTTACCTCCTTGATTCAACTCCCTGATAGACATGAGAGTCTATCAGGAATGAGGATGCTGTAATGAGGACCCCACTGAAAAGGCACATGGAACACTGCCTTTTCAAATCTTTGTTTTCCAAATAGGACTATAATATTCAAGTTTTGATATGGGACACTGTTGTCCTCCTTGGACAAAATGTTCAGATGTACTGTGCAAAATTCCAGTGCTTGACCTACAAAGTGACAAAATTAAACATTCTGCAATAGATTGTTGGACTGAAGCGAAAGAATTGGCTGCGCTTGCTATCACAGTGTTCTCTACGTGGTACAAATAGTTGTTTCTTTTCTATTGTTTTTCTCTTCTTGTCATCCAGTTGCATACAGAGACAGCCCCAATAATTTTTTGGGGGTTGGACTTCACTAAAGACAGTAATTCTCAAATGTGTTAAAAAAAACCTGAGACTAACAAGTAGGCACCTGCTTGTATAATAACTGTCCATCTGTGTAGCAATTATGACAGCTCTCTAAATTACAATCCCTCTATTTATAAGGATGCTTACTTAAGAGATTACAATTATTATTCAAGGTGGCACAGATCAGACACAGTCCCAAGAAATAAAATGCCACGGTTCCAGTCACCTCTTTCGGCAAAGGATTACACGTAAGCCTAAATGTTACCTGGTATATGAAAATCAAGAGTGTGTTTCATTACGTAGCTCTCTGCAGTACTAATTTTCTGACTAAGTATTTGTAGTTTAGAATATAAAATTTGAAACAGCCTTTGCTACACTAAATGTGTGGTTTCTAATTTTGCTTCAGGGTTTCTCAAACTTTGCCAAATCATTTCCCTGTGTAAAAAACATAAGGAAAAATACCTGGCAGCAAAAGGAAGGTGGCAGCTTCAACTAAGAACCAATTTGTAAAGAAAAATTAAATTTCAAAATAGCTTTAGTTTGTTTGATGCTTTGTTCTTTGGCCGTTTTTTAATAGCTGGAGAAACAAGGTTTTTTTGCCATTGCAAACCAGCGTTGAATGCAAGGATTCCACTTCTGCATTGTAAGTCAACAAATCACCAAGAGTGCATGGGAAAGGAGATAGCATTTAATTTTTTTTCTGCTCCTCCAGCCTTTGCCTTAGAAAAACACTTCTTTCTAGTGAGTTCAGTTTCACAGTTTGAGAAATTCTGTTCTTTGTGCAAGTCCTGGGAGAAAAGGTGATGGTGTGCACGTCTTTAAAAAAAAATACAGTCTGTGTATGTGGTTGAATTTAAGGTAACCTTGATTAGTTAAATCTGTTTAACTGTCAGTTGATACTTCTAGAACTGTAAGTCAGAAAAATATCTGAAATAAACCTTGTGTGCATCACAAATGTTTTGAGACAGTTTAGGGGAGATTACTGCTAAGCTGAAAACTCTGCATGTAGTAGAATGTTACTGTGCTCTTCAATAGTAATTTCTGTAATTCCATGTTGTTTGTTTTGGTTCCAAACTCTGGAATTGACTGGTGTTTGTAACCACGGAGTGCTAAAATAAGCGGCTGGAGCTCTATATAAGAATTCTTTTCAGAAATTTAAAAGAAAATTATACCCAGGACTAAGACCATTTAACTACAAATGGAGGAGAGAAGGGGGATTGCCACAATGTCTAGTGATAAGTACTCATACTAAATGTTAAAGAATTTTCCTTATGTTAGAGATTTTTTTCTTACAGCATCTTGGCTGATTTGTGTATCAGGTATTTGCTTCACAATATTTCTTCTCCGTGGTCTCTGACATAGTCCAAAGGACTACCACATGTTTACAGGACACTAATCTGGAATCCTGAAAAAGAAGGATAGAAGAAAAATTTGGCTTCTTGTTTGTTTGTTTTTTTTTCTCTCCCTCCCCCCTATCGTCCTTAATCCTGACATTTGAGTGCTTCATGGAATTATTCTAACTTTCAGACAGAGAGGAATAGAGAGGTCTCTCTCAAACTATGCTCTTCAGAAGGATATTAAAATTAGCAATAGCCTTTATGGAGAAAATCTCAGTACATTCATGTAGCTGTACAGTTTAGCTCATATCCAGGAGCAAATAGATTCAAATAATCTCTTAAATAATTAAATTGTTTAAGAAACTAAATATTCTCTTAAGTAAGAATTAAATAATACCCTAAGATGAATGAAGTAATCTCTTGAAACTGCCTTTTTTCACAAGCCACCTATAAAACAACGAGCACAAAGTAGTCCAGAGACTAGACCATGGGCTACCTTTTTTTTTTTTTTTTTTTTTCCTTATTGTATGCATTTTCCATTTAATCAGCACATGTAACTTTCTTCTAGAAAATTTTGTGTGGTTTTACTTAAATATTTTGGGGGGATTTTTTTTTTTTTTTTAGTGTCTACAGAAGACTTTGTTTGTAAATAACACTACTGTTGTATTTACAGTAATACCATTCTGGACAACAGGAATTCCACAATATTTTCTAGTTTGCAATATGTTTAAATACTATTTGTTACTTTTTTTTAATGCTATCTTTCAGCCTATTCTGTAAATTTCTGTAGTGTTGAACAGGAAAAATTACTTTTAATATAAAACACACTATGAGTTAATGCCTTCAGCTCTTCCCTCATTTCCATCATGCCAGCAAATCCATAAAGGAGTAGAAATTCTCATAAATTCACTTTAGTGGCAGTATTTCCATACTTGCCCCTATTTCTTGATGTTTTTCTTGTGAATATTGGCATTTCCAATGTAATTCAAGAGTAAAATATGTGGATGTGACCACTACCATTGATTGCAAAGTAGAACTCAAAAATATGAAAGAAAGATGGTTTATACAAGTCTCGGAGAACGATAAAAACTGTAAAGAAGTAAAGTAGATGTTTACTGGTGTCTCCTTCTCCTTTTTACTTTCTCTTGTCCAGATATACTCTACAAGAGCATTAAAAGGTATTTGCAGTTTAGGTAATAAATAATGACCAGTATCAGCCAAGCACCAGCCACTGCTGTCTCTGCACGTTTCTTCAAGTACAGGATGGGTGAACTCTTCTGTGGGTGAAGCGACACCTGCGTAACATGCTTTAAATATGTCTTTTCAACTGACTTTTCTTTCTTACACAGTTTTGTGATCTTGGTGCCAGCCAGTTGCAGAGCAACTCTGTTCAAAATAAGGATATCCATAGAATTGTGACCCATCTAGAGGTTATCTATACAGCAAACCAGCTTCCAAGCACTCAGCCACTAATGCTTTGCTTAATTTCTTAAAAGTGCCAGAAGCAGGAAGATTGGCATTCTAACTTCAAAAACTGTTGGAGCAAGACACAAGTGTCAGGATCAAAGGAAATGAGTTGAATTATGGATGCTTATCTCAGAATAAAAACTGTCCCCAGATTTAAAGGGTACAATAACTCGCACTTTGGTTTGCATTTGTGTTAATATTTACAATTAACTTAACACAAGTTCCTATTAAAAAAGCATCATCTCACCTCTAGTTAAAGTTTCCTGATTTAAAAAAAAAAACAAAAACAAAAAAACAAAAATCTTGATGTGTGAAGGACGGTGTGCATAAAGTCAGGTTGAATGTAAAGAAAAACAAGAAAATTAAAGGCAGTTTATCAAAACTAATTTCTGTCTCGTAGAGAAGAGGTTTGTGTAATCCAAATGGTCATGTTTGAATTTCAGTCCCGTGTATTTTAAATGTTACTTTTGCATCATGTAATTTGTTGTCACTGGGATACAAATTCTGTGCTTTTTTGGAATTTCTTGCAGTTGCCTTTAAACTTTGTTCACGTGCAAATCAAAAATACTATCCTGATCTTTAGTCACAGCTGGAAGAAAAATTTTTCTTGAAGAGGCTCCGTGCGAGATTCTCCTTATTGAAAAAGGCTTGTAATGAAAAGAGATTATGGATAGGGCTTTTAAATGCCAGTGCTTGTCAAAACACTTTTCTCATTGATGTCGGTGAGGACTTGAATACTGACTTCAACAGGTACAGATTTAGCTGTACAAGGACTCTCTAAAAATAACTTGTCTAACAGATAAAAACTGTGTCCTTGTATTATTACTTGTGTTTGCTTCTGAAGAACATATACAAATGTAGCGCATGATCCCTATGCTACTAGAATTTGGGAGTGTTACCTTATAGTGGTGGGAGAAGGGTAAACCAAAAGCAAGCAATAAGCATTTTGGAATGGGGTCTATCTGAAAAGGTTTTTTTAATTTGAAATCTGACTATAGTATTTTTCTCTTCATTTACTGTGCTTGTACGAACAGTGTGACACCATCACTGCAACAGGCTCGTGTCTGTCCTTCCAATATGTTACCTGAAGATGGAACTAATCTTTACTCTGCTCGTGGCATTTTGTCGTTTATCCAGTCTTCCACTCGTAGGGCTTACCAGCAGGTCTTGGATGTGCTGGATGAAAACCGCAGGTGATTGGTTGTCACTGATTCTGCCAGCTTTTGCTGCTTTTTTCTTTCTTTTATCCTTTTTAGTGGAGCTTGTTTTCTGTTTACAAAATAATGAGTTGAAATTATTTGCTTTTGCTTTCCTTTGCTTTCACTATTCATAAGCGATTTAATTGTCCAAAATTCACATTTCAAAATGCTTCTGTTTCAGTCAAATGTAGCATTGTTTTGGTTTCCTTCCAAATAAAAATCAAAATAGAAGTGTTACTCTGTGACTGAAAGGGGTTTTGCTGTTCCCAGATTGTCAGTGCTTTCTGCAATTAATACTTGATCCCGAGCCTGCAAATTTATTAGCCTTGTCTTCTGCTTCTGTAGGTGAGCAATAGTGCAAATCAATAAGATTGGGTTGATGATGTCATAAAGCATTAAAACAAATGTGCAGAAAAAGGGTAGACTACTATGCAAGGCATTGTGGACACTGCTTTTGATAATGTGTCAAGACTTTAGGCTGTTTCAGTTTATATTGGGAACAGTTATGTCTGGTTGATATACGACTGGTGGTGACCACTTTGCTGGATGCTCAGAGCAAGAAAGGCAATGTATACTGAGAAGCTGGTTGCTCCTCTGATTAATGCTGTCTCTGTTTTTATGGATAACCTGATACTTTGAGAGGTAATGAGCCAAAACAAGCCTCATGGCAATCATTGTATAGTATTTCCATTCTCTTCAGTGGAGTTTTGCCCACTTGACATATCCTTGGACTGTTTTGATTTGGCACTTCTAAGTGTTACAAGAATGGCATGTTTAACACAATAGCAACATTTATAAAGACTAAGAAAGGCAAGGTTAATTTACGAAAAGCAACATTCATTTCAATAGTATGCTAGCACAGAGGTTCAGGTAGAAATTGCACGTGGTTAGTCTCTAGTGTAGGACTAGCTGAGACACCTAGGGCTTGCCAAGAGGTCAAGTTAGAGGAGCTAATTGGCAAGAACGTTAGGAGGCACTGCTCATTCCTCCTGCAGCCCTTCAGTGTGGCCTGTCCTAGGAAGTACTTTGAAAATATCCCACCAGCACTCAATATTTTGCAGTGTGAAGTTAAATGATTTGCTTTCTAGTTGATTTGGTAATAAAATGTGACTATCAAGCCAATCTTATTGTGAATCTCTGTGTGTTTGCAGTCATTTTCCAAACTGGTACCTCCCATGTTTGCTGACCTGACAGTAAATATGACAATGCCCATATTAACATTCTTGATTCATATACAACTCCAGTCTTTCTGGCTTTTATGTTCTTAACCTTGGACTTCAAAAACAAACAAACAAACAAAAAAAGCCAACCCCCAGACTATCTGCAGAATTCCCTTGAAATTCTGCAAGTTGGGTGCTTAACCCTGACTTAATCTGATTAAATTCCACACTGTAGCTGTTAAATTTTTTATGCCTGTCAACAGCTGGACAGCAATACCTTTTTTTCCCTTGACAATATTAAAAATTAGATGGAATTACAAGTTTGTTTTGTTTTACAAAATCAAAGCTCCCAGATAAGGAGGAATTCTACTGGCTGTGAATAATGGCAGTTATAGATACTGTGCCAAGAGACCTTGTTAAAATATAGACTGAAATTCTAGCCCTTTCCCCAGTCTGCAGTGAAGCTAACAGGTTTTATTCCTGGCTTCCATTAGGCAAGTTCTTGCCCACGTTTTCTTGGGTTCTGGAAAACATGCATATACATACATACATACACTTTCAACTTATTTCAGTTATCAAAAAATTTCTAGGATTATTAATTACTCTTCCTGGTTTGGGTTAATTTTTAAAGTTACTTGCTAACCTTCCTAGAAGAAATGGAAAACCTGTTTCTAGTCACCTGTGAACAAATAGGTGCCAAATAATGAACTTTTCAATAAGATGAAAGTGTATTCTTTGTGGTTGGGTGTTTGGATACCCACCATTACTTTACAGCTGGCGTAGGAATGTGAAATTTGGATGATCCACTTGCATGGTTGCAAAATATTGTTCATTTTAAATTGCTCCAAACCTGCACTCTGTTCTTTTGCTCTGTGTAATGTGCTTTCTATCTCAAAACCTTATCTATTTTAACATTTTATGCTTAATACTAGAAGAGATCTTTTAAAATGAACAAGATCTGACTATGTGTTACTCACTGGAAATATTTTTAACTTGTTTCATTACTTTTTTTTTTTTTTTTGTCCAAAATATTTTTCCAATCTACTAAAACTGCTAATGGTAGGTGCTGATTGTACTGCTACAGATAATGAATTATGCACAGTTTAGCCGGCACTGCTCACCTAATAGGTTATTTAAATGGGCAACAATTTAATGATCACTGTTTACACTGTTTACTCTTGCATTTCCTTCAGCTTGGACAAGGACAATAGGTCAGTTTTATTTTCCAGTTCTAACTGTTTTATTCTGTTTCAGTTTCTGTCAAATGGCTGTAGGGCCTATACCTAGAGTCCTTTGACTGATCTTTTATGCTCTACACAACAGAAACAAACAAACCCCCCTGCATTTAAGGAGATTTTAGGGATGTCTTAAATGCAGGAAAAAGGCAATTTCATATCTGAATGGAGTTGTGTTGAAATCTGTACTTTATCTGAACTCTTCTTCATCTCTTGAGTCAATACCTTTTTATTTAGGAAAAAAAAAAAGTATGGAAATTTATTACTATTTCCTTTCTTCAGGATACCCCTTTCTAAAAAGCCACTGTTGTCCTTAAATGCCAAACTTCACCCACATAATTATATCCTGAGGTGTTATGAGATCACTTTTTATATTGAGCAAGTTAATGATATTTTTCATGGTAGAAATAAAATGGGATGTGAGTAAAGACCATCAAAGAGGGCTGCATGTGACTTTGGATTGGGGTAATATAGTTCAGAAGAAAATGAAATGGATCTGCAGGTGTGAAAGAGCCTGTGGAAAAACAGTAGCTTATTGCTTTATTGAAGTAACCACTTAGAGCACTGAGACAAGCAAGGAGAGCAGTTTTATACAGTCACTGATTTTTCAATGCATCAGTCCCTTTCTGTCCTTCAGAAGCTGAGCTTCTTGCCCAGTTCACATCTAGAACATGTTCATGAAGTCCTAGTGCTCATTCCTACAGCCTTTCTGAGATTTCCAAAGGTGTTCTAAAG